TGTCATCCCGGCCGCGTCACACGCACCGCCGTACTTCTCCCTCATTGAACGTCGATCGGAAGTGAAGACCAGCAGCGTCTTTCCCAGGGCAGCAGCGTAGCCCACCTCAAACGCGGTCCCGCAGTCCGGCTCATGCGAGCGAAAGGGCGAGAGGTCCGCAATGACGGCGTCACACTGCCTTATCATCTCCATGTTCTTTGCCCGTATCTCGGCGGCCCCCGTGGCCTCGTTGTCCACGGGAATCAGTGGTGTGGCGCCGTGCACCCTCAGCAACCTGCGCACATGCTCGTAGTACGCGGCCCCCATGTCCGCGTTAAACACCGCGGGGCCTGCAATGTAGATTTTGCTCATGGCGGAGGAGCCTTCGTGGCTTCTTTGCTTTGGCCTATCCAAACTTGAAAACAAAGGGCATAGAAAGGGGGGCATCACGTAAAGACGCCGTGGCAGCAGAGCGGAGGCACAAGAGGCACCACTCGCAGAGGAGAAGTGTTGCCTACAAAAAACAGAATAAAAAACGATTATCCAGTTACACACACACACAGTGACGCACGCGGCGAAGATGCAGGACGGAAGTGAGGGAGATTACTACTCGAGCTGTAGCACAGCCCAAGCAGCGACAGACCGCTGAGCACGTGGTAAAGCCGAAAACACAACAAAATACGCGCCTGGTGGCGGTTGGGTGGGTGGGTGGTGTGTGGGCCTTTGCTCCTTCTCCCCACACAAGGAAAGAGCAAAACAAGGAGATCGTAGTTTGGCTCAGCGAACGCATCCCCCCCCACCTCGGAGGAAGCCCACCAAACACCCACACACACCAGTACACCAATTGCTGCGGAAAACAATCTACAAAAACTGAGGCATCGCCGTGAACCCACAACGTGGCAGCCGTTAAAGACCCCGCAACCGCCCCTCCCCCTCGCATGACGAGCCGCTTCCACCACGCCACCAGAACTGAAGTCACAACCCCTCCACGCGCCATCCGCGGGATTGCTATGCGATCGCACGCATGCAAAAAAAAAAACACACACACAAAAAAACACGCACACCCACGCCATGGGCGTTAGAGAGGGTGCAATACCACGCCCGATTGCCGCATCAAGGCCCGCTGCCCCACCTTTAGTGGCGTCACCCTGCAACGCGGCAGTTCCCGTACAGACGCCAATGCGTTGAGCCAAACGCTCTGCGCACGTCGACAAAGCAGGAGGAGCCACCCGTGCTTCCGCCTGCATGGGAAAAAAGTTGCGGGAGCTTCGCAGTGGTGCCCCCCCCCCGCCACCTTGACACACTTTGCAGCTGGAATAAGCAAAGCATTCCCCCTACCGTGCGAAGCCACGTCTTTAATGAGGCAACTCGTCGAGTGCCTGTGACAGGAACAAGGTCAAGGTAGCTGCGGCCAGTGTGAAGCCAGCAAAGCGCACCACTTTGCCACAAGCAGCGGAGTTGCGCCACTACAAAAAAAAAAAAAAAAGAAACGAACCCCCCTGTGCATCCTTTGGACGCCCACTACACGTCCGCCATGCTTCAAAAAACTGACCAAACAACCAAGGATAAAAGAAACTGACCCCGCTGCCTTCCAGCGCAGCAAAGTTGAAACTATACATAAAATTATGGGCAAATAAACAGGACCAATGCATGAGGTACAAATACATTTATTGAGCCAAGTCTTGAAGCATACTCCTCCATGTCCCAAAGATAAAATAGCAACAAATATAATTAATAGGAAAGAGTGGGGCACAGTAAAACTAATTCCTCGCTTACCTCGTTGTAAAACAATGCGGTGGTGCCTTCAGTCGTCGATCACCTGTCGCGAGTCGTACGCCAAAGTCTGACAAGCACACAGGAATCCCCGAGCGACGAAGCACATCATCACTCATTGAAACTACCTCTTCTTCGTTTTCCTCTTCCTCCTCCTCATCTTCGCTGAGACTATTTTCTGCAAGAAGAAAGGAATCACATACCGACTGGTAGTTCATCGTACAGGCGGTCATCACCATCGCTGGTGCCTCAATGCACAACCCAATGGTCATGCCAAGGCAAACCCCAAAGACACCGTACTGCAGGTACAATCCAAGGAAAAACACCATGGGAATACCCACACCCCACAGAGACAACAACAAAATAAGGGCACCCAAATAATTTTTGCCTAACCCACTAAAAATACCTTGGAAGGTGAACTGCACCGCATCAGCGGTGTGAAAGAGTGGGAGTAAAAAAAGGGTCTCACGTGCTAGCTTAAGTGTTTCACCCTTGGTTCCAAACAGGCCCATAAAAAAATCAAAAAAACAATACAACGCGGCAGAGTTGACAGCACTAACCACCAATACAGCGACTATGGCAACTTCAACATATGTCCGGGCATTCTTTGGTTCATTGCTGCCGACGCAACGACCAATATTGGCACACGCGCCGGCACTCAGACCACCTGCCAAGGCGGCAAAAATAAAAAGCACATTCATAATACTTGACCATGCGGCACCGGATTGCTCCCCAAAATAGGCACATAACAAAACAGTTACATCAAATGAGGATGCCTCGGCGGCAACAAAGATAGCACTTGGAATAGCCAGTCCCAAATACCCTTTTACATCAGCTGGATTTAGGGCCTCCAAGATACGTAGGCTCCCAAGCGTGTGTCTTGTCTGCGGGACACATAGTGTCAGAACAATGATGACAGCCAGTTGAAACCAAGCCGTAATGCACATGCCAACCATCGAGTATCGGACTCCCATGGGTGTCAGTTTCATCTGCACCAATGGGGTGATAATAATTCCGGCAGTTAGCGCAATCAGTGGCATATGGGGCCGCATCTGGTTGCTGAGAAATTTATTGAAGGCACTAAATATTAGCACAGGCAACAAAAACAAGGGCATGTAGTGCAAAAAGTCCTTCGCCACACTTGTGATGGCTTCGCCATAGACCTGTTCAAGGATAAAATCCGCGTTGTACAATATCACACATTCTGGGGCAATAAATACCAAATTGATGAGTATGCCGCGTTGTAATAGAAGTCCCAGCTCCTGGCTATTTGGATCTCGCCCGTATTCGTGCGAGCACAATGTATCCATGGCAAATGTCATGCCAATCATTGGGTATAGCACAAAGGTGCTTAAAGTGAAGTATCCAACAGAGGCCCCGGAAAGAGATAACTCGCCCAAGTAGCTTCCAATAAAAGCCAATGGGATAATAGAAAGGGCAAACGCAAAGCCAATGGCCAGGGCAGCAGGAGCAGCAAAGGCCACAAGATGCATTACCGCATCCTTGTAGCTAACCTCTACTTCCGCCTCTTCCTCCCTCTCTTCATACCCGTCGGCATCAAAGGAGGTATCAACATGCTTGATAGCAACATGCTCGGAAAAGAAAATACGCTGGCTACTCGCCTTATCATGGTTTTCAAGATCTGTCGTGGGATCTGGTGAAGGTTGTGGCATTGGAGCCAGAGGAACAACAACGCCCTCTTTTCTTGCGGGCAGCCTAGCTTCCTTTGGCATTTGCACACCTTTCCCATCCTGCGTGGCCACCAGGTTCTTTTCAAGGTTATCAACGCTGTCAGAGTAACGCAACTGTCGCGGTGAGAGACCACCACTCTCGTATTTTAACGCTGTGAGTTCTGAAACTGCCCCTACAACCCCAGTCTTCTCAGCGTTTAAGACGGTATCGCTAGTGTTTGCAAGGGAGACATCCGCGGTTCGTGGTTGCGATTTTGCTGTAATCACTTCGACAGTAAATGAGGGACTCTCTTCTGAGACTTGACGGTCGCGAAGCAGCGGTGATGCCTTTTCCTTCTTCAGAGCACTTGGCGCGACGACATCCAGGTTGAGACGGTAGCTCGCCTTGTCCTTTTTTGCCGGCGGCACCTCCGCATTTGTCTGCGGTGAGACACTCGTGAGTCTCCACGCCGGGGGAAGCGCCAGGTTCTCCTGACGTCGCATGGGTGGCACAGGAAAAAGCGTCCCGTGACTTGACGTAAAGCTCCCATGGAAGAGCGTTTTTTTCGCCTCCTCCGCCAGCTTTGTGGCCTGTTGACTTACCGTTAATTCACGACTCCGCAGCGCAGAGCAGCGGAACGTGCCGAGGCTTGGAGCCCGAGTGACAGGCGTAGAGCTGGCCCGGCGCTGCGCCACGAGGGCGGTAGCACCGTACCACCGCCGCCCCACAGGACGCGTGCTACCCCGGCGATGTGGCAACAGCATCGATCCCTCATACTCCCCCACGCCTCGCATCCTTTTCAAGCTGCCCATAGGCCTCACACGGATAGGCGAGTATGGCTCCATACAGTTAGTTGTCTAACTATATGTATAAATTCTAGTATATGCAAGTATGAATAAATATGGATATGACTTACGACTGTCTATCTATCCTCTCTCGGTGTGTATGTAGCTCCTCCTTTGATGTTGTTTACACACACACACGCACACACAGAGAGAGAGAGAGAGAAACACACACCAGCACGAACGCAATGAGGGCCTTTAAGGTTGCTAACTGTCCCAATTTGGCTTTGACGCCCGTGATTTTTTTTAGTTTTAGTTTTAGTTTTTTCGTTTTTCTGTAGAAACAATTAAATGTATTTAATCTTTTTTGCGTAAACACTTTTTTTCTCAGCAGCGGATGCACGTGCCGCGCGAGGAAGAACGTCAAGTTTGTTTTCATCAACGCTGAAGCTGGGGGGTGGCGTCAGCCCACAGCCAGGCAGACAGACACATAGAGTAAGATAGTGACATTAACGAGCGGGAAGCATCAGCAAATGCTGAAGTTTATGCATGCAAGGCAGCCCAAAACCATCAACAAAACCAAAAAAAAAGACCAATAGAAAAGAACGCATGCCCGTCAAAGCCGGTCAAAGGTGAGTTTGGCTAGAAAAGAGCTGAAATCATGCGGAGAGGAAGTGCGTGAAGACACGGAGGACAACGCCAGCAAGCTGCCCAAAACAAAAAAACAAAAACAAAGTAATAAACAATAAACAAAAACATTGTTTTTTTTTTAATGATTTTGCCTCTAAATCGTTCAGGTGGTGTAGACAAGATTCTAAGAAGAGCAGCGAGGAGGCACTCGTCTGAGTGGGGAAGAAGAAGGGTCGGCTTGATCGCCCACTCACACCGCCCCATTAAGTGTGTGCCAACGCCGGCCACATGGCCAGGGCCACCACACACGGGAGAAACAAACAAAAGACACGTTTGTGACCAAATGCGCTGCGTACTCATCTCATATATATATATATATATATCAACATATGCAAATCAATAGGTAACCATCTGTATATAAATATATGTATGTGGTTATAGGCATCGCTGCAAGCACGGAAGGGACCTTGTTAGTGTTGCTTCATCCATGCCTTGATTTTCTCCAAGGTGCTTCGTTCCGCGTCGACTTTGTTGCAAAAGGTTTTATACTTGTCCCAGTCAAAGTCACGGGGCGCATACTGTTTCAGTTTTTTTGGTAGCATTGTTTGATCATAGTCTCTGTAGGTGTGCGACCGCCCATATCGGAGGAAATAGCCAAAGAAGAAGAGGGAGGTACCTGTCCCAAGGAAGTACGAGACAGGCTCCATGATGTCCCAGTCCAGATCAAAGAATGTAAGGCGTGAAATAATAGCCAACTGAGCTCCTGCAAAGCAGAGTGCCGCACCCCACACGCGTCTACGCCACCTGGCAGCTCGCATGACGGCGGGTTGCAGTTCCTGCCTCATCGCTGCCTCTTCAGCCTGTGCCGCCTCCAATCGCCTCGTGGCTTCCTCAATAAAGAAAAGCGAGGAAGGCCCCGTCGCCACCCCCGCCCCAACAAGGTCTTCGTGCATATGCACCAACTGGAGCGGCCGAAGATGCACTCCCTCCCCGTCAGAAATAGGGACGACAGTGCCAGCCTCCGCCAAGAGGCGCAGAGCCTCTTCACTATTTTCTATGTGGATTTCAGCACAATACTGGTCAAACACCGCCCGACTAATTACATTCGCGTTCTCGTTCACACCCACACCACAGGCCGAGACGGCACGCTGCTGCAGCGCCTGACGAAGCAACACCATCGGTGCAATATGTGCAAACTCCGCCGCCGTTAAAGTAGTAGAAGGCGGCGACGGCTTATGCTTCGTCAACGCCTCCTCGCCCGTCGTGCAAGTGCGTATCTTCGTGGATAAAGTTTGAGGGCCACTGACATCACCGCGACGTGTTTGTGAAACCAAATCGCGTGCCCATGCAGAGCACAGTTGTCGACTGGGCGCCCCCACGCGCATGCCACACTTGAGGCGTGCAACTCTAGGGGAAAGAACAATTCACGCACTCCACGCCGCACAAAGAGAAAGAAATAATAATAATAATAACAATAATAATAATAAAGATCAACATCTCATAAACATACATAACTTCATTCAAAAGCGACACATATCGCTCGTCAGAGACACAGTTCGCGCAATGAACACACATCCATACACGCACACAGGCACAGCGGATGAGGCAGTTACTTAATTCATCACATTTGTGGAAGGAGAGGAAATATCATGCGACTCTATTTACTCCTCTCTTCCTCTTTTTAATTTTTAATTTTTTTTTCCCGCTTGCTTGCCTTGTGTGTGTTTTTCTCCACAGCGCCCACCGTCGCGTTCCCTCCCCCCTCCCCAGTACTCAGTCCCTATAACAGAACCCAGATCCTGTTGGGCGCCGCCCTCGCTCGTCCGGCCCGCCTCTACCACGTCCTCCATTCAACCTGCCGCGGCAGGGGGGCCGGCGTAAAAAACAATGAAGAAAAGTCAACAAAAAAACAAAAGCCAAAAAAAAAAAAACAAAAAAAAACAATGATTGCCGTAATGCTGACGAGAAAAATGATGAGAAATAAATAACGTCTTTTGTGCGGGACGACAAGCTGACGGCAATGGAGCAATTTCCAGCAGAACCCACAACTTCTGCGCATCAGTCTTCCTTTAGGTTGCCCCAAATTCGTTGCTTTACCTGGTGATTATTACCGTCATTACTGCTCTTCCTTCATTGGCTCTATTTTTCCTTTTTGGTCACACACTCTTCTTTTCTTCCTTTGTCATTTTTCTCTTTTTGCTGAAGGGTCCCTCCATTGCCTTGCATTCCAGTTCGCTCGGGCACATACTACGTGGCAATTTTTGGCGTCACTACGTACCCCTCGCCTCCACTCCCGCCACGCCCATAGGAAACCCCCCCCCAAAAAAAAATCCAATAAAACCATTGATGCATGTGGGGTATGCATATATTCCTTCTGCTCCTCTCTCTTCGCCCTCCCCTACACCTGCGGCTGCCACTGCAGGAGAGGGCGGTCCTAAGAAGTAGTCGTATCGTCTGCTCCCCCGAAATGCAGGTACACATACACATGCAGATATACAGTTACACTTGTGGCTGTAGCTGTGGAGTAAATGAGAAAGCTCACAAGACCTAGGCACACGCACTATTGTGCGCAACTGTAAACAAAAAAAAAGCGCATTTCACTCCTTTTTAGTCCCTCTCATTTTTTTTTCTTTTTTTTCTTATACTTAGATGTAGATTTTATTTCCCTCCTACCTGTTTGTCTCTATAGGTGAGGACGCCCATTCGCATAAAAGTTCACAGCCGTAGCCGGGGCAGTGGAAAAGGAAACAATATACTGCGTGATGTCCCGGTAGCGAGGGTGCGAGATGTACTCTCTCAAAAATTCCTCGCGCTCGTGGCGAGAAATGAGCACATGTGTGTACTTGCTCTTCAGGGCGTCGCCGTACTTTGTGAGGTGCACCTTATTCCCCCCGAAGTGCATGTCCACCACACCGGGGATCTCGCTGCGAGCGGCCAACAAGAGGCTTTCAAGCTTGTCTTCATCCATCCCGTCGCGTAGCTGGAAGAGCACGACACGCATAACCGAGGGCATGGCGAATGTATTGCGCGTGACGAGAGAGACTTTTTTTTTTCCAAGAAAAAATATTAAGGAAACGAGTCGCTTTGTTTCCCAGTAACTTCCTTCAATAGTAGAGTCCAAATAATGAAAATACCTTCGCAGTTGTTGTTTTGTTATTATTATTATTTTCTTCTTTTCTTTTTTGCCTCTGGTTATAAAGTCTATTTTTTGGTGGACAACTCCCAATTACGCCAGCTGGTATACCGGACTTCTGTGTGCATGCGGTTATGGGAGGCGGCGACAGCGGTGGCACAGCGGCGGGAGAAAAGAGGGGAAAAGGAAGAGGATGAAAAAGATAAAAAGGAAGGAGAACAGGTGGAGGCACAGACACACATGTCCCATGAAAAAAAAAAAAAACAGAAGTGTGGTGGCGGTGGCATGCGCCGCACGGTCGTTGGGAAACATTCGGGTGCCGTGGAACAAAACGCACGTCAGCGCACCAGAATAAAAAAAAAAAACAAAACAACAACAAGAAAAAAACAAAAAAAAATGCGCGTCGTATGTCTTACAGTTCTCTTTCTCTACGTTTTTATTCTTCTCACTTGCTTCATTTACTCCCTCCTCACCGCGCCCAATAACAATTATAAATAAATAAATAAATGATCCGGCCGTCCCTTCCTTCCTACCAGTTTTTAGTTAATGGGACCCCAAGTTCCACCAAGCATCATTACACACACGCACAGTGCTAGTAATCATTTGTCCATTTATGTGTAGAAACATTACAACGAAGCGTGTTGACGGCAACGAACACTTACTGCTTCGGATAGCCCAGCGCAAAGTCGACGCGAAGTGGCGGCCTTGTCATGGATGTCTTCAGCAGACTTACGAGGGCAAGATGATCCGGGTGCTCGGCGTACACCTTCAGGTGGGTGGCGTCCAGGTGCTTCGACACCAGACAGTGCGTGTAGCCATTGCTGGAGTCAACGTAGTCGGGGTACAAGTTTCGGCCGGCCGGCCCAAAGTTCAGCTCCAAGAGGCCAGGCACCTTCTCGCGAAGCACGTTGAGGTGATGCAGAAGAACGTCATCGGGAAGCACCATTGCCACCTTCGCGGCGTCCAGGCAAAAGAGGACCACATGGCAGATATTGGGCTGCATGTTGATAACTTGGGTAATGAATAAACGGTAACACTCGCTAGAGAAGCTCAGCTGCCACGCGCCGCCAACAACATCGCAGACGACGCGTACAAGAGAAGCCACACAAACACGATAAAAAAAACAAAAACAACAACAACATCAGCAAAAAACAACAACAACATCAGCAAAAAACACCCATAAATCAAGCAAACAACGAAACAAAGAAGAGGAGACAAGTGAGTCAATGCAGAAAGTGCAAAGTGAAGCAAGTGGGTTTGTTGCTGCATCCGCAAAAATGTCCTCAACACGTATCTGTTCCTTTTTTTTTTTTTGCTTCTTCTTCCCCAAGAGACGGGCCATCATGAGCCCATGTGCTTTTCCGCGCTCTCGTTCCTTCATCATTTTCGTTGCTTTTTCCCCTTCCCTTTTCCCTTCCTTGCTACTCTGGCCACTCACTTCCGTGCCAATTCACCCACTTACGGAAGGGCAACACACACACTGGCAAGGATGCAGGGAAACAAAAGGAAGACTTGAACGCCTTTTGTATTTCTACTTCTCCCACCCCTTTGTGTTTTATCTCTAGACAAGCGGTCTACTGTGCAAGCGTGCAGTGACAATGGTCGCCCGTGCAGCCGCAACTACTCCCCCCGTTCCCCCCTTTCCCTTTCGTCCAACATGTTTTTTTGTTTTTGTTAGCTCGCCGTTGAAGTTCTTCCTTTTTCCTTCGTAATCTGCTCGTGTGTGTGCGGCAATTCCAAATAAACTTTTTGTTTGCTTGTTTTTTTTTGCTTCAGGGAGAGAAAAGGAAGTTTTCTGCACACCTTCCATCCCTCCCCACGCTCTGTGGAGGGACGCTGCTCTTGAGGTTCAGCAACACGGCACACAGGCTACACCGGTGCGAGAGATCGCGGCAGCAGGATAAGGAGCAGCCCTCCGCCTTAGCCGCGAACAGAGTATTTTTGGATCTCGTGCCAGTGAATCTTCTTATGCAGCGTATGCAAACAAAAGACGAGGCTCTCTGCAGAGGGCGGGCAACCAGGGATCCAGAAATCCACTGAAATAGCCCGCTCGCACCCACGCAGCACGGCGTATGAAAAGTGATAGTAACCACCGCCGCTGGCGCAGCTCCCCATGGAGATGACCCATTTTGGATTTACCATCTTCACATAAATGTTGTGCAGCAGGGGCGCCATTTTGTTTGTCACAGTGCCGGAGAAGATGATGATCTCCGCCCGGCGAGGCGTGGGGCGCAGGACGATACCAAAGCGATCCAAGTCGTAACGTGAGGCATACGCGTGCATCATCTCCACAGCGCAGCACGCCAGCCCAAACGTGAGCCGCCACGGCGAGTACGCCAAGCACCACTCTGTTAAGTCATGCAGCGTCATCTGCGCGTACTGAAGGGCGTTGTTGGGTTTGCAGGTGCCAAGCTTATGCAGCAGTATCTTTTTTCCCCCCCGTTTGAGATCCAGGCGATGCGACCACTCCGGACTCCCACGCGAGATCATCGCGCGTCCAGTGAGACCGCAACGCGTAAGGCGCAACATTGCGTGTTTTCTACCTACTTGCCTCTCTTCCTCTTAACCTGTTGACGCGACTTCCTTCCTTGCGTTTTCCCCCACCTGGTGGGCCCGTCGCTTTCCTCAACCTGCGTCTGCACACCGCGACTCAAAGGGAGACGGGGAGACAACGACAAGAAGCAAAAAAAAAAAAACAAGCAACCTCAAATGGAGCGCACACGCACACACGCAAACACACCGTAGGGAGGAGACGCAGCTGCAAGAGTCCACAAAGCCACCAGGATAAAAATGTTGCGCTGAGGACCAACCGCTACACCATTGTCGCTCCACACAGCCGCTTATTCATCAGCCACCGCATCGGGGGGGAAAAAAAAAACAACAAAACTAAATAAGTAAAACAAAAATACGCCTCATATCTTCCAATTGCCCCCGTTATTATATATACGCTGTTTGCGCGGCGGCGGCTTCTGCACTTTCCTTGCTGTTTAGAAACGATAAATGTCACTGTCCTTGTACCCGAGCTCACCCAGGATACCACCAAGCGCAACCAAGTTATTGAGGTCTGGTGCAAGGGGCTGAATATTTACCCCACTCGACATGGCGTTCATTGTCTCCATAGGTGTACCTGCCACATGATTCAGCAGCTGGTCGGGACCGCAAATCATGATGATCTTGTTCTCCTCCTCTACTGCGGGCATCGTTTGCTGCACCATCTCCTTGGTGACATAACCGACAAAATGCTTCCAGTTCTCCGGGTCCACGGGCTGGTCCACTGTGTAGTGGACCTTAAACCGCTCGGGGTAACGCACCGATAAATCATCAAAAAGACCCTTAAGTAATATGTGCTTCTCGGTGCGATTGCAAAACAAAAAAGATAGCTTTGTGTGATCCACAACGCCATCCTTCCACTTCTCCATTAAGCCATGGCGAATAATTTGCAACATCGGGGTAAAGCCAGTGCCGCCCGCAATCATGCCTACATGGCTCCACCTATTTGGTCTGTACTGCACCTTGAAGTTCACAGAGCGAAAGAGCAGTTTGTCCCCAACGTGCATGCCGAAAAGGTGGGTTGTCATGAGACCTCCCTGCTTGCGCTTCACAATGATGTCAAAATAACCTTTTGTGTGGTTAGCCGTAACCGGGGTGTAGAAGCGGTGACACTGCTCCGTCGGCTGAACCCCGTACTTGTAGCAGGCCTGCAGCGTCGAGCACGGCTTCAGATTAAACTCCTCATCAGCGTGAAGCAGGAACCGAAAAAGAGCGGTGTCGTGCGTGATGGGGATCACCTCACCGAGCTGGTATGGCTCGTAGCGCTGCGAAAAAACGGCGCCATCTTTTTTCTTGTTACGAAACTGAAGCGCGTTCTCGATGCTGCGGTAGCACTCAGCGGGGCACGGGTCACCCACGGAGCGCCGAAGCATCGCGCCTAACAAACCCGCTGCAAAGGCGGCAAAAAAGCGCATTCTGCTCAAGCTAGATGTAACGCAATCTACTTCTTGGTGCAAAGACACAGACGCAGGGATAGAAGAAGGCAAAAACAACAATAAATAGAAAAAAAAAACATCACACAGGCAAATATGCGTGTCTACCCTTTTTTTTTCCTTTTCTTCTCCCTCTCTCTGTCTCGGTGTGGACTCTAGAAGTTCTCTAAAACTTCGGCTGACTTCTCACCCTTACGTCTGTGGTGGGGATGCTTCGGCGTTCCAACAGAGCGCAGCAAAGCGAGAAGATGGAAAGCAGTTACAGCAGAGGAAAAAGAAAAAAAAGAGTTCCCACCAGAGAGACACGCACAGGGCAGCTTACGTAACGCGAGAGTGACATCCAATTCCTCATCCAGAAGTCTCACAGAAAGAAATAGCATCATCAGCAATTACTTTAGCCCACAATAACACAAAAAGCGCAGCTAATTTTTTTTTTAAAAAAAAACACGCACGAACACAGACAGAGAGACAAAATCGACAGTAATTAAGGTAGAAGCAAACAAAAAAAAAAAGATAAGAGCCACACGGTGCTCACCAAAAGGTGGCTCATGCGAAATGTAACTGGCCACAGTAATATAAGGCGAAACATCCACTGCACTCAATTGACAAGAAACAAAGCCCAAAAGTTTTTGTCTTTGTTTTCCTGGAGGAAATTAAGGTGAATGACCTTTGAAAAGGGTCGCAGAAGCGCTAAAATTCATGCATCCTTATCGGCAATATAGTTTACGGCCCCATCTATGTCTCCGTTGGATGCACGCAAGGCTTCTAAACACAGTGCCTCATTATCAAAACCCATTTCCCTTAATACAGCTAGCTGCGGCGCCCATTCTGCAGCAATCCTGGAAGTTTCTCCCGCCTGCGTGGAACCTGCGGGTTGTGCCTGCCCTCCCACGTTAGACGAAGTCGTTATCCATGACGGCAAAAACGAGGTTGAAGTATGCGGATTACCGTTAGCTAACAAAAATGGAAGATTACTGGGCAATCCAGCAAGGGGTGCTGCGCTTCCAGCATTATGGCCACCCCCGAATAAACTCAAAAGACCAGCTGGATTTTGGCTCATTAGGTTTGACTCTAATCTGCCCCCCGCACTGGAGGGTTGCTGCTCCCAGGGATTTGGCAAAGCCTCACTGTTCGCCTCCTTGTTTGGATCGGGGCGCGCCTGTGCCTCATCGACGCTATCAGAAGCACTAAGACCGGTAGTTTCCGTCAGGGCAGACATGTCATTCATATATTCCGACGTCATGCGTTCAAAAAGCTGCTCGCCGCCTGGCATGGCGCTCAGCTGCGCGAGCTGAAGTCCCATGCCTAGACTCAGCGAGCGCCGTTGGTCGGGGTCAATTTGTGACATCATCAACGTCTTCAGGGTCTCTGGGTCGCAGAAGTGCCGTTTTAGCTCAGGGTGTTTGTTTAGCATCTCCTTCAGGCCGGGGTTGATGGAAATCATCATGTCCAGCGTGGAGGGATCCCGCACCATGAGGTCAATGACGGGCTCCATCATCTTCGCCTGGGCACGTGCGTCCCTCTCATTTTCGTGGCCGGCCACCGACATTAACGCCGCCCGCATCGCCTCAGAGCTCGCCGATCCCGTCCTCAGCTTCTCTGAGACATGGGCAAAGAGTTTGCATGGGGTATCATCGGCTAGCGGATACAACTTCAACACCAACGCCCACGTGGCCGTGTCGTCCTCCAGCACATGACCCTGAAAAGTGAGACGAATCGTCTCTTCATCGGCGCCAATCATCTGCCCGATCAGCACACGTACCTCACCAACTCGCATATCATCTTCAATGAAAAGATCCACCTTCTCCGCGATGTTACTCACAACCTGAAACAACATCTTTTGCGCAGCCCTTCACCCTCTTTGTGTTCCCTCTACAGACTCAATAGTCGCGGACAAACTTGTGTTTTCTTCCTAGTTGCTAGTGCTGCGGGCATTGTTCAAAAATCAACAAAGATAGAAAGAGAATTCGATCACTGCCCCAGGAAACCATATATATATAATCCTACAGACGAATGCCGGAGTAACCAGGGAAAACGAGACCCACGAACACATTGTGACTATTGCAGTTGAGCAACCGGTAGGAGGTTGACGGTATCCATCAGCTCCCGCACGCCGCGTTCTGCTTCAAGCCGCTCCACGGGCAAAAAGAAGTTACTCCAGCACTCCTGAGGACTACTGCTAACAAGTGAAGCTGTAAGAAAGGCAAGCGACTTGGACGCCTCCACCAGGCCACAGTCATTTGCATCAAAAAGAAGACGCATCCGCGCAGCATCGTTTGGCAAGCGTCGCTCCACCGCATGCCCCACTGCGGAAAACCAGAATGCGGCACTGAGAGGGGTCGACGACCACGACGCATTCCACTCACGAAGAAGGCGTGTAGCGCTTATCAACGGAGGAGGAAGGGCAAATTTCAGCGCAGCCATCGAGTAACCAAAGGCGGGGCGCAGTGCCCTTCGTTGAAGCGGATCCACCTCCACCTGCAGCGCGCGCAGATTCGGTTCATCTCCGGCAAAAGAAATAAACGTGCGAACACGCCGTGTCTTGCTGGGGCAGCTTGTCGCGGAAGCTCTGCCGCAGGTAAAATCCACCGGCAGCGCAATCTCCAATAGGTCAGGGTCGTGTATGGCGCACCCCTTCTCCCGCAGCAAAAACGCGCCATCCAAAACCCTGGAGGCAAACTTCGGAACCTTCTGCCTCTGATAGTTAAACGTTTTACCCCCCACCGTTTGGCGCACCTTTGTGTCGCTAGAAAAGGGCGGTACCTGGGCAAACACCTGCGGCGCAACCACCCGACGGAGGTCGGGAGCTTCAAAGCCACCGACGTAAACCACGGCGTGAGGCGTCCAACACGGCATCCTCGGCAAGGAAGAGTCTTCCGAGTCATACCGCCATAGCTGACGACCCGCAACGAGCTGTGGAGGCCACCTGCGGTACAGTCGGCTCCAGACGTCCGCGAGCTCAGAAGAACACGACGTGGAGGTGGGACCATTCCTTGCCTGTAGGTATGCACTGTGCAATGATACCGGAAACTTGTTCACCAGCAGTTTT